CTTGGGGACTTCAACTCCCAGAATTCCCCAGCCGGCAAAGCTTGGCAACTTTAAGACTTGGGGACTTCAACTCCCAGAATTCCCCAGCCGGCAAAGCTTGGCAACGTTAAGACTTGGGGACTTCAACTCCCAGAATTCCCCAGCCGGCAAAGCTTGGCAACGTTAAGACTTGGGGACTTCAACTCCCAGAATTCCTCAGCCAGCAAAGCTTGGCAACGTTAAGACTTGGGGACTTCAACTCCCAGAATTCCTCAGCCAGCAAAGCTTGGCAACGTTAAGACTTGGGGGCTTCAACTCCCAGAATTCCTCAGCCAGCAAAGCTTGGCAACTTTAAGAGTTGTGGACTTCAGCAAAGCTGGCTGAGGAATTCTGGGAGTTGAAGCCCACAAGTCTTAAAGTTGCTAAAGTTGGAGACCCCTGATCTAAGACAGTTGAATGAAAAAGTTGATCAACTGCGTAATAGAATACAAATGACTCTTGACTTATAATCATTTGTTTAGTGGCCGTTTCAAGTTACAACAGCCCTGAAAAAAAGTGACTTATCACTATTTTTCATAGCTATGACCCCATTGCAGTAACCTTTGTAGTCAAACGATCAACATTTGGGTGCTTAGCAACCAGTATGTATTTTCCATGTTGCAACATCTTGGGGATAAGTCGATCGCCATTTGTGACTGTTCCAGCCAGCTTCTGACAAGCAAAGTCAATGGGGGGGAAACTGGATTCGCTTAATGACCGCACAACAACTGCAATGGTTTGTTTAAGAATCGTGGCTAAAAAGTTCATAAAATTGTGTAAAACTCATCTATCTCTACAGCAGAATACTCACCAGTCTGGATATTCATGCTAAATTAACTAATGCAAGATTGGAGAAATACTAGATGATACCTCATTGGTCCATTCTCCATATTTTGAAAAATCAAATCGTACTGTACCCTTTCAAGTTGCCCCCTTTTAATAGTTATGTAGAAAAGTATTTAAGGGATGTGGTGGCTCAGTGGCTAAGATGCTGAGCTTGCAGATCAGAAAGGTCAGTTCGAATCCCTAGCACCGCATAAGGGAGGGAGCTCCCGTTACTTGTCCCAGCTTCTGCCAACCTAGCAGTTCGAAAGCATGTAAAAAGGCAAATATAAAAATAGGGACCACCTTTGGTGGGAAGGTAACAGCGTTCCGTGCGCCTTTAGCATTGAGTCATGCCGGCCACATGACCCTAGAGACCTCTTCGGACAGCGCTGGCTCTTTGGTTTTGAAACAGAGATGAGCACTGCCCCCTAGAGTTGGGAATAGCTAGCACGTATGTGCGAGGGGAACCTTTACCTAGAAAAGTATCGATTGGTTTACACTTAGAACAGGAGGAGGCAAAATGCATGGTAAATTAAAAGCATATAGTAACGCCTTTCAATTCATCTTCCTACTTCCTCTTTTAGATCTCCTTGATAACTCTTATAGCACCTTTGCTTGGAAAATCAGACATGGGGCCCATGAAATCTCTCCGCACATTGCGAGCTCTGCGACCGCTAAGAGCCCTTGCTCGATTTGAAGGGATGCGGGTAAGAGGAACAAAAACCGCTGTTTTTTTAAAGCAGCTTTAGAATTATTGCTACAAATGTGAGGCGATCAGAGGATCACAGCAGAAGTTTCCCTAAAGGGCGATTAATCTTATAATTAATCTTATTAATAAACGCAGCACACATTAAAAAAAATGAATAGACAGAGCTTTGGTCATATCCTTTTTAAAAAGAGATGGGACAGCCATTTTGTCCGGAATCTTATAGGTCAGTATTGGTGAATGTTTTTTTGGCACTGAGTGCTGAAACGGGGACATGTGCACACATGCAGGCCTGCATGCCGAAAACCAGAAGAGAGCCGCCCCATGTGCATGCACTTGCCAGTAAGATGATCTTCCGGTTTCTGGCACATGCATGCATGCGCACTGGCCAACTAGTCTTCCAGTTTCTGGCACCCATGCACCCGCGAAGACCAGATGATGGGTGCGCGTGAGCATGCCGGAAACTGGAATATCATCTTCCTGGCATGCACATGTGCATCAGACAGCTGCTCTTCCGGTTTCCAGTGCTTCTGTGGATGTGAAGACCAGCTGGCCAGTGCACCGGAACCTGGAAGAGCAACGGGCGACAGCTTCTGTGACTGGAGAGATGGCTCTGCGTGTCACTTTCAGCATCATGGTTATAGGGTCTTCTGCTTGAGCAGGGGGTTGGACTAGAAGACCTCCAAGGTCCCTTCTAACTTTGTTATCCTGTTTTGTTATTCCATCCCATAAAGCCCAAAGAATGTCTGGAATAGTATAGGATCTCCTGCCAAGGGAAGGAGGGTTCGATTAGACCTCCAAGGGCACTTCCAACTCTGCTATTCTGTAATTTTTTTGGTCATGCCCTAGAATCTTTTGCATTAATGCCTTTTGGGTAGATGGCAGGTTTATTTTTTTTAAGCGTATGATATGTCATGCCTGCAAGCCATATTTTCTTTTTGGACGTCAGGCCTGCCACATTTTCTACTGTGCAAAAATGGGGTGGGGTGGGGGATTATATGGAGTTGGGTGATATGTAGCCACAATAACATTCTTCTTAGAAAGCCAAGGTCATCTTTGTCTCTGCACCTGGCCGGATCTGGATGGGAGGAATCTGTCTTTGTGGCAGTGGAAGGTTGGACCACGTGATGGACTTGTGGGTATTGGGGGCAGGATTTTGAACTTTCAACTGGGTGGGGAAAACTGGAAGCTTACAGATTCGGGTTTTCCCAGATGAGCCGACATGACATCTCTAATCAATTGGAACTCTGAGGAAATACAAGCCTCAGGGTTTTATTTTGTTGGGGGTGTTTTTTGGAACCCTGACATTAACCCGAATCTCCATATAATCCCCCCTCCCATTTTCCCATAGTAGAAAGTGTGGCATCCATAGACATCATGCATCACTGATATACACCACTAATAAAACGTATTATTAAACACAAGAATAAGTTTAAGTAGAGCAGTGTTTCTCAACCTTGGCAACTTAAAGATGTCCGGACTTCAACTCCCAGAATTCCCTAGCCAGCATGTTGGGGTTGGGGAACTAGAGCAGTGGAATTCTGGGAGTTGGCTGACTGTGGAATTCTGGGAGATGAGGTCCACACATCTTCAAGTAGCTACGGTTGAGAAACACTGAAGTAGAGCATCAGCAAATGTACTGTATATATAGCAGATGATTGACATAAGAGCTGTCGAATATAGGTAGAAGGAATGAGGAACAGCAAGATAGTAACATGAAATTCCCTACTTTGCACAGAGATAAGGTGAGGAGAAGATTAGCTGGTCCCAGAGGTGCTTTTTCAAAAGGCAGCTGGACATTCTTTGTTTCTCCTTGAAGATGTTGGGCCGGAAGACATCTAAAAGGTCCCTTCCAACTCTACAGTTCTGTTCCGTTCTGATTTTTCGCTTCTCATCCAAGAAGCTTCTTCAGTTCTGAAGAATTGAAGAGGCTCCCTGAATGAGAAGTGAAACATCCTCAAGGAAGATCAAAGGCAGTCCAGCTGTCTTTTGAAACAGCATCTTTGGGACAAGACAACCATGACCTGGATGACTGAGAATCTCCACAGAAAAGAGCTTTGCGTGTTCAGATGTGTAAGGTTACCAAAAAAAAAGGACATGATATTGGTTTCTTAGTCTGGTCTACCTCATCAGGCTTTCTAAAAGAAATGGAGTACGGAGCAATGGAGTGTGCAGGAAAGAAGTCTTCAGTATTCAACCCAATTTCTTCCAATTGCTTTGAATATTTTGAATATTTACCATGTCAGGAGACAGTGAATACGAGACTGATCAAAACTATGAATTAGAACGGCATCAGATCATCTCCACCGAGATCAGCAATAGAACCTTAGAATGATTTTCCTTTATCTTAGAATAGAATGGAATAGAATAGAATAGCAGAGTTGGAAGGGACCTTGGAGGTCTTCTAGTCCAACCCCCTGCTTAGGCAGGAGACCCTACACCACTTCAGACAAGTGGTTATCCAACATCTTCTTAAAGACTTCCAGTGTTGGGGCATCTCTTCTAATGTGCTGTTGCTTTTGACATATATTCCAAGGAGCTGTTTTTGATTACTTACGTCTTTAATAGTTCTATTCCGAATTGCTAAGAGGATATATGCCCCCGATATATCCCAATATACACAGTAGCTTCTGTGGAACATCCCTAACAAATTGCCATAGCATTAACAAAGATGATAATGCTAGTTGCAGTACAGGTGAACTTTCCATTCTAGGTATACTTTGTTGAATTAGACACTAATCCTGCTCATAATCTCGTAGCCATAGATTACTTGCAGTTTACTTACAAATAGGGGTAAGCGGTGATGCTGAATATGTATACTAAATCCATAACTGAACTTAGAAAAATGTCAAAATCATATTGCATTCCCACAAGTTATTTCTTCCTACTGTTGGTAAAATGCAATGGAATATAAACCACAGGTAATCCTCTCTTACTGACCACAACTTGACTGGCAGTTTTGTTCCGAAGCAAAATGGCTGTAAATTGAAAAGGCATCTCATAATGCTGACTTATTTTGGCAGTCCCTGCTGGGATCGTTGTTAAGCAGGATGTCATGTGACCCTAGCTTGCAACTTCCTGCTGGCTTCCCCATTGACACAATTTTACTTCGTTGGAAGCCGGCCGTAAAGATTGGAAATGATGATTATGTGACCTGTGACCCTTGTAATTGTGGGTTCCACCACAAAACCGCGTTCGACTAAAGCGCGCTGGACGAAACCGCGTAGCTGACATCATCACAGCGCGACAACAGCGCGGAGAAAAAAGCACGCTGTAAACGCTAAAGCTAAAATTAACCTCTAAACCTAAACCTAACCCCCCTAAACCTAATCCTAAACCTAACCCTAAACCTAACCCTTAACCTAACCCTAAACCTAACCCTAACCCT